GCCATCGCGGCCGTGCACTGTATTAGCTCGGAGGGGGAGGGGGGGGGGTCGTTCCTTGTTCTGGTTCACCGCCCGATGTGTCGTTCACGCGCGAGAGAGCTCACCTTCGACGCGCAGGTGATGAGGTCGCCTCCCCCCCCCCCTCTCTCTCTCGCGTCGTCATGCTGTCTCGCGTCGTCCTGGCTGCTCTGGCCCGCCGCCGCCGCCGCCGCGCCCGCCGAACTACTCTGTCATGGTCGTGACGTCACCGTGGGGAGCCGAGGTGTAAAGGTGCTGCACAGGCGCCCCGCCCCGCCCCGCCCCGCAGCTGTTGTCGCCCACTTCTGTCATCCTCCCGCGGCAAGATGACTCGGCTACTTGCAGAGCGAAGAGAACGTGGCGAACTCTAATTATTCCTCATTATCATCCCTTTTACTACTGGGTGGGGTATATTTCTTATGGTCAAAAGGGTGCGGATCCAAATATTATAGGATTCCAAAAGTATCAGGACCAGTCATATTGCTGAATCCAGAGGGACCTCGTGATATTTGTGCTCCTGACATGGGGCTGCTCCAGCCCCAAGACCATATAAAGGGGTTGTCCCGGAATTAGGTCCGTTTTTCTCAGGTTTATTAGGCAAATTGCGGGAGCTCGGCGCCTGCGAGACTCGGGGTAGGCCAGCCCGCAGTACCCACATGCACTGCTGGAGAGTTCTTGCCTACCCACAGCAGGCGGTATGAGACTGAACTAGAAAATGTCGTAACGCAAAATGACGGACGTACTTTCTTGATGATACCAAAGCTGGTTCAGAGGCAGCAAGATGCAAGGTGTTACCTACCAGAGGTGGATTTTAACACGGCCGCGAACGTGACTTTTAGAGCGGCGTGTTGTGCTTTTTAACTGCCTCGCGGATCGGGCTCATGGCCTGTTTACGTTTCGCTTTTTGAGAGGCCGAGCGCCACGCTGCAAACGTGTAACGTGGTCGCGGGGAGGCGGTTTTCTTTTCTTTTCTTTTCTTTTCTTTTCTTTTCTTTTCTTTTCTTTTCTTTTCTTTTCTTTTCTTTTCTTTTCTTTTCTTTTCTTTTCTTTTC